GATGGAGATCCTCGATGCCTTAATCGCTCGTATAAGCTCTGGATAAATCGGTTTGCTATTGATTCCATTATCTACGAATGCTATGATCTTCCGGTGCTGGAACTCGTTAAGCAAGTGGCTGAGAAAAGTTCGTCGGACGTCTTTGCCTCTGAAACTTGGGAATATGTCGTAAGAAGATGAATAAGAAGAAGATGCCATAAGATACCAAATGAATTTGGGCCTCAACTGTAAGCCCAAGGCCCAACAAACAACAAAACTAAAAATTGCTCTCTTTTTTTTTCCTTTTTCTTTTCTCTTGTGTTGATCTTTTTGTCTCTCAAAAATCAAAATAAAGTATGAATTTGAATCAACTTGTGTTTGATCTCTTTGTAATGGTGTAAGCCAAAATCAACTTGGAGACATATGAATTTCATCTTACTCATTTACAATCATTGTGGTAATTATCTCATTTACAACTCAAACTCATCTATATATGTATATCAATTTAATTCTTAGGAAATTTTCTAGATGTGTTAATTATAAAATATTTAGACTAGATCAAGTCTCTCTTTAAAAAAAAAAATAGACAAAGTCTCATCTTGTAAGGTACATATCTACAAAACTTGAAGACAATGATAATCATCAAAGAATTGATTTTCCTCACTTTAATTAGAGAATATAAAGGATTTCATTTAAAAGTACTCACTAACTTGTCAAAATCCCTTATTTCAAAACTGAGCTGTTGAGATGATGTCCTCAAGCTTGGGACTAATGTTTGGATAACTAAGGAAACATTCATACAAACAACATGTTCTTGTTTATAGATAGAATTTAGATAGAGTCTTTGTCATGTATTAGAGATAACCAAAATAACAAAGATGTGTATCTTGCGAATCAAGTATTATCAGCTATTAAATTTTTTTTATGAATTGAAGTTTTTGAAACCTATGAAATCCAAATGAAAATTTTTGGAGAATAAGACATATATTTTGATATAGTGTCTTAATATATTTACGTTTAGAGCATCTCCAATCCAAGGTTATTAACTGAGTTCATAGCTTAAAAAAGATTAAAAATAAATTATAAATAACTAAAATGATAAAGGTGAGTTGTTAAAAGAAGGGTTTTAAGACCATCTCCAAAGAGAGAGTCTAAACAAATTTTTTTAGAGATTATGAGATTAAAGTGATAAAAAATAAATCAGAATGTGTATAAATGTTTGAGGGCGCCCCTAAACGATGGGGTTTGGGTACCGCTCCTTAAGGCCACATGTTTATTTTTAGTGGATTGAAACTGTAGAGTAGGGAAACAACATTAACGAAGGGTCTCTGTCTCTCTCTTTCTTCTCTTGTGAAAACTTTTTCTTCTTCTGTTGAGTTGCCAAAGGCGACAGAGATGTGATTTTGACTTTTCTTTGATTTCGTCGGAGCTTTGGAGTTATGATCGGAGAATTTTCAAGCGTAGGGCGCCGTTATCAATATCTCCATTGTCACTGGTGAAGATCGATTGAATTGGTCTCAAAACGGCCAAGATTCAAGCTCGAGAATCTTTTTTTTGTTCTCAAGATCGGAGAATTAGCTAGAAGGAAGCTCCAAATTCGTTTTGAAGGTATGAATCTCGCTCAAAGCTTAGTAGATGTTGAAAATTATGGGTTTTTATATGTATGCAAAATTAGGCTTATTTCAATCAATAGGTAGTTTCTATCTATGTTCTTAGCTATGTCTGAAGATTAATATAGGCATATGTTGTTTGTTTTTGCTCAAATTGAAACGAGGCTTGTGGTTTATGCGTACAGATTGGTAGATTGGATTGTTTCGGAACTGGAAGAGTAGCACCTGTTTACATGTTAAGAGAGAGCTGAAAGATGTAGCTAGAAGACGCTTGGAGCTTCACAACTCAGTCTTTGCCTGAGACCAATCTCTCACCATTAAAATAATTGAAAAATATAAAGAGAGAGGAAAGAGAGATGATCGGTTCTCTAAATAGAACGTTGCCTACCCTCTAAAGAACCTCTCTCGCCACATGTTTTAATTTTATTGGTTCATCTCTATTTACGTATTAAAATTTAATTACATAATAAAACTAAAATAAAAAATAATATATTTTAATTGTTGAGATACATTTGTTGAGATACCCACCGATAGATGGTCTAAGGGCATGTGCAGCGGTAAGGACGTTTTTTTCCCAAAATTCTTTTTTTTTTCTTTTTTAGATTTTTTTTAAATAAAATAAAAAATAAAAAAATAGGGAACCAATCGCGGGCCGCCACGTGTCAGTGGGGCCCGCGAATAGTGTAATACTAAAACAGAGGACGTTGCAATTTAGTTAACGTCCCTCTTATTTTTTTTTGCTTTTGATTTTTATTTTTGCATAAAAATGTGAGGGACTGGACATAATACCTCTGATGCCCACGCTCTAAGGATCCGTTCATAACATGATGTGCAGAGTATTATTATGATGTGGTATAGTATTACTTGCTATGAATAGTTGGGCAAAAAGAAAAACATTGAATGCACCTCTCGCCCTCTCTCTCTCCACTTCTCTCTTTTCTCTTTTTTAACTTTAGTTTTAATTTAAGGGTTTGTTAAAAATGGGTACTCAAATAATCAAAAAACTAAAAGCAAAGGCTTGATAACTTAAAAATTAGATCTCTCTTCCTCCTTACGAAATTACTTTCTTACCCCTAAAATTTTTCTGGTTATGTAGTAACTTTTGTGGTTATATATTTGATTAACTATGTAAAGCATATGTTACCGCTATACATTATAAGTTATTAGATAATCTAATAGTTATATAGTTCAATTATTTATAGTTACTCATATGTTACCGCTATAAATTAAAATTTATCTGATAAATTCATAATTATCGAGTTAAATTATTTATTATATGACTTATATCAACTAACTTATATATTAACAGGTTAATTTATTATGATATTTCATTTGTTATCGTTCACTTATGCATAAGAATGATATATAAAAGTTATTTAAAATTTTATGGATATCTATTTTGTTATGTGATAAAATATTTGTTGTCAATCGTAAGGATATGTTTGTCCAGTTAAAATTACAAAGAGAGAGAACTAATAAAAAAATAGCATGTATGAATTCTTAATTTTTTATTTATTTGAATACATCAAATGTAGTTTCCCTTAATTTAATTAATATTAGTTAATAAAAATTTATTAGCAATTACCTTTACGAGTTTGTTGTTGGAGATGGTCTTAGACCTTCCTCAATGGTGGATTATTATAACTAAGATTTTGTAAAGAAAATATCTTATATAAGGATTTTCTATACAAAATCTTAGCTATAAAATCTCACCATTGAGAATGCCTTTATGTGTTTAGAAAAGTTTACGTTTTAAAAATTTTAGTATTATATCAATGTTGTCAATATTTATATACCTATATTAGGTTTGATCTCCTGGTATACTACGAATCCATTTTTCTTATAAATCATTTAAATTTAAGTTGTTTGACGGAATAGTATAACTCAGCAGTAACATGATAACGAAATATATTTTCAAGAATTTACCATATAGCCCCATAAAAAAAAAAGCTTTCTCGTTAGATCTATCATCCCGGTCACTGAGTCACCGCGATTAAAATGGTTAAACGAACTGCAAAGTTGTCTGCCGGAGTAGAGGAAGTAAATGCTTTAGAAGTTTAAAGAGGCCCAATTCCCATAAAAGCCCATTTAAACAAGTCCACTTAATAAGAACCAATATGTCGTCTCTTAACTAGATTTGTACGTTTTCACACACCGTTCGTTTTCAAGAATCGAAGTTGGTCAAACACTCAAATTATATGAAATGTGATGATGATAATATATGTGTAGTTGCACTGCGTAAACGAATCAGAGCTGGTCAATTATGTAAGTCAAGTCGTTCACACAAGGAAATTTCCTACCCAAAAAGGTTAGGACACGTCAAAAAGAAAATCTCAAAAGACTTGTGTGTTACAAAAACTTATACAATAATAGACAGAAGAATAAACTAATGCCTCACACATACACACAGATCCACTGACAACAACAATAAAATGATAATTTTTGGGTTTGAATGGTTGAATGGTTGGGGCGAACAAAAAGATCGAACCGCTTTTTATTTATCAATTACTGTAATTATACTGATTGAAAAAAAAAAAAAACTATTGTGGACTAACTATTACGTACAAATAAAGTTGGTAAGCAACGATTTGTTATCCGTCCTAAAAATAGGGCAGATTAAACTGGTAACAAAATTTTTTTATCTATGTAACCATTCATAGCTTTTTTGCTATTAATTATAAAATGTAAAACTATATAATTTAATTTGGGAAAAATGTTATTTAAATCTCGAACTTATAAATTTTGGCCATTTTAATCCTCGATTTTCACTGTGGCCATTAAAATCATAGACTTCTCGTTGACGTTATTTTTAAATCACCATCTTCTGTTGACTGAGCCAGATTGAACATGTCGTCAAATCAAATCTTCTAACAGAGGAGTTAACAGCCGTTTAGGATCGTTAATCGATCTCTGTTAAGTCGAAAAATGAAAATCACAAGAACAAGCGACGTCGTTCTGCCTTAAACGAAATGCCTAAATCCCAAAATCCCCAAATTCTCTTTTTTTTTCAGCTCAATAATAATGGAGACTTTGTAGTAACATAAAATTTTGTTTTTGGGGGAAAAAAATAGTTATATAGATTTTAGTATTTTACGCGTCACTTTGCACGAATAAAAGAAAGAGCTTATACACGTCACATAACGTTTAATTTTTTGTTGTGAGTATACGTCACTTAGACTTTCTCAAGTTTCATCTTTCATACATCATTTGACTATCTTTAGTTTTCTCCTACGTATGTCACTAATCTTAATCTAACACAAAGAAGGTGAGAACACTATTCACCCATCCACGTTCTCAACATGCTTCACGTGTGTTAATTCAACAAATCCAACGTGTTTAATTCATAACATATATATACACACCAGAGACAAAACCTTAAGATCACAACTCAAAACACTAATTAAGAGAGACATGGATCAGTTCTTTGTAGACTCTTCGGTTTTTCAAAAAGAAGACAACTTATGGGATCTAATCACCGACGACATCTCCGGTTACTTTGACAAAAGCGTCAGTGTAATAAACAGAAGTGCCTTTAGGCCATACGTGAAGGGAACAGAAGATACGTTGGTGTCTTCTTCATCGAAAGTGAACGTGAAGAAGAGAATGGTGAATTTGCTGAGGATGAATTGGGAGAAGAAGAAATCCGCGGCGGCGCCGGAGAAAGAGAGATGTCGGAGACATATGTTGAAAGAAAGAACAAGAAGAGAGAAACAAAAACAGTGTTACTTAGCTCTCCATTCTCTACTACCATTTGCTACTAAGGTACATTTAAGAAAGATTAGGTTTTTATATAACACATATGTATACTTGTTTTTTTTTTTTTTTGAATAATCAAAGAGATTCTAGGCCGAGACTCATACATCTCTTCAGACCCCAAAACCAGAGCATGTTATATGGTTTCGTCCCAAGCGCTACTCGAACCGGCTACCTCTAAGTTTTTGCCAAAGATCTTTACCAATTGAGCTATTAGCATTTGGTATATGTATACTTGTTAGTTTATATTACTTTTATTTTCTTCTAATTAATTTTTTGTTTTGTTTTCAGAATGACAAGAATTCGATTGTCGAAAAAGCTGTGGATGAGATTGGGAAATTGCAAAGAATAAAGAAAGAACTAGAGAGAAGAATCAAGGTGGTTGAGGCAAAATCAGCAAATGATGATGATATGAGTTTTACAAAGGTTCGGTTTAGTCTACAAGAACCTTTTTCTGGACTTGATTCAATGTTAGAAGTTCTTCGTTGTCTTAAATCAATGAAGACAAAACTCAAAACGGTCCACGCCAGTTTCTCTCCTCACGAGTTCTCTACAACCATGAACATCCAAACTCAGGTACATACATATATAATCAGATCAGATTTATTCGGTTTAATCTGGTAATTAACTTCTATAAATCAGTAGCGTTATATAGAGTTATTATGATATATAAACTAAGACAAAGAAACTAATATAGGACTGACAAAATATTTTGATTTATCGACTATTAATTTATAAAGGTTATATTTGTATATTTTGTTTTATTTGTTTTAAATATTAATATATATTTGATATTAGTTAATGTATTGACAGATAAGAGGAGAAGAGGTTGAGAAGAAAGTGGAGAGAAGACTCCAAGAAAATGAATGGAAATTTCTGTTTCTCTCATAAGCTTCATTTTGTTTCAAAGACTAATGAGTGCCTTTGTGTTGACTTTTATCTATTCATTTTATTTTTCTAATATACATTTGAAATTTAATTTAACTGGGACTAGCTACTAGCTACTTTGTTAGTAAAATATATAAATCTATATATATAATTGGAGAGTTCTCTCTCCATCTAGGCTATCCACATCATCATTCACTTCATCAAATTTTTTATTCAAATTAAGTATATTTAAAAGGTTTATTTGATACATATTTATGTACTCATAATTAGTAGAAAATTTAATTAAATCGTAGAAAACGCTTTAGGCCGCTTTGGATCGCTCAAAATCGCTAGATTTCAAAAGCTCCTTTCTGTACGCGTTTGCGGTTGTGGGCGGTTGCGATTGGTTTAAAAAAGGAAAGTATCTTAAAATGGAAACTTTGTAAACTAAAATATATATTATCAAATCCTAAATATATTCACATTAATTCTCAAAAAAAATCATTCTCTAAATTTATTTTTCAAATATTTCTAATTTTTTTTTCACTGTAAAATTAATTTGTTTAACATTTAAATAATTATTTAGTATTTATATTTAGTAGTTATTTATGGTTTTATTATTAATCCTGTTTAAAAAATTTATAATTTTTCATAAATATATTCTACTAAAAATTTATTTGTTTTAAAATATTTATTTATCAATAATTATTAAGTAATAAGGCTTTTTATTAGTTATCATTCATATTCATTTTTAATATATTATTAAGTACTTAAAAATAATTATTAAGTAATAAGGCTTTTTATTAGTTAAATAATTATTATTTATAAAAATATTCCTTTTTCAATATATTTTATCATAATAATATAGATTTTGGTATATTTATACATTTTTATAATTATATTCATATCTTTTTTTTTATTTTTTATTCAATCGCTATTGCTTCTACTGGTCATCCGATCATATAACTACCGCAAACGCACCTATTTATAAATTTAAAAATAATTTACGTATTTGGAAATTTTAAAAAAAAAACTTTTTTAATAAGATTCATGTGATTTTAAACTATTGTATAAGCGTCAAATGAACGTTTATTGCCTAAACCGCTTTTTAGAATTTACAAGTAGAATTAAAAATAAAGTATATATTATTATATATATATTTTGGTTAAGTTTATTATGGAAGAGAATGAAATGAACATACAGTATTACAGTTTAATTTTTTTAAGGTCAAGCTTAAGTTGCGATGTGACCACACATGTAAAACAATTCTAAACAAGACTACATTACATATAATATAAATCATATCTTACTGAATTAGTTACATAACCGGATAAAAAGCATACTGAGCCACACCACACATGCCTTGACGCATCGCCACATCTCTACGAATCCTGATGTAACCCTCTTCTCCCCAAGTCTCACCCCAAGAGTTCTTAGCTAACCAGTAGTTCTTCCCATATTTCCCATCGCTAGTCCCATATCCTACGAACGTCACTACATGATTTACCTCGTGATGATCACAGTCTTGTGGAGTGTACTCATACACACCCTCTTTGTAATTCCCAAAGCCGAATGACCTCGAGTCCATGTACACCGACACGGGCTGTCTTGATACGGCCTCGAGCAACGCACGCTCGTCGTTGCTTGGAACCTGTTGGAACCCTTTGATCTGTGTGCCTGGCGCGGGACTTATGTTGGAACGGCAGCTCCCTTCTTTGGTTTCGTAAGGGTATTCTACTTCTGAAGCAATGCCGTGGTTTTTGGCTATGTAATCGAAAGCGTCATACGACTGTCCCGCCGTGCAACCACCGTTATGTTTGTCGCAATCTATAAGTTGTTGTTCCGACAGTGATATAAGGTTTTTGCCGATAATCTTTGTTAAACCTTCCACCGCTGCAACCGCTGAGAATGCCCAACAACTTCCTGCCCAGGTATATATATAGATCACATCATTTTATTACGAAACAAGTTATCTTGTAACACCAAGTGTTAATAGCTCAATTGGTAAAAATCTCTGACAAAAGCTTAAAAATCGCCGGTTTAAATAGTGTTTGGGACGAGATCATATAACATACTATGGTCTCGGGTCTAAAGAGATGTATAGGCTTCGGTCCAAAACCTCTTAGTTAATCAAAAAAAAAGTTATCTCCTAACTCATAAACCTAGCATGATGATAACCCTAACGTGGGAAATTGTATGTGGACTAATAATAACACTAACACATTTTATTTATTTATTAAACCCCTAACAAATTTATGTTCATGTATTGGCATAGTGTTTATAATATATAATCATAGTAAGCTTAATTACCACATGATCCTTGACTTTTAACAGGTGTTACAGCTCCTTCAGCTCTCCAGTCTTTGCTCGTATCGTCGACATAACTATAGTTCCAATTCTTAGATAACATCGTTTCATTAACTAGCTGTTTGGATAGTGAAGTTAAGTTCATGCTTCCCAGGCCGGTGTGGGTGGCAAAGAACTCTTCCTCTGTCAAATCTGTGAACTCGTTGACGCCAAGTTTGTAGCTTTGGTTCCCCATATTATTGAAGTTCTCAATGACTTTCAAGTTTTTCTTGAACACTTGAAGCCTCCTTTGTTTCTCGAATTCATCCTTATAAACTCGAGAGAATTGAACCATCCATTGATGGTGGTAATCAACAATGGATGGCTTGTGCAAAGTGATACGAGATGTAGCTTGAGAGACCCTTATATCCATGGAATTAGTGATTAGAACCACCAACACAAACATTACTAACGACACCATTTTGGTTTTTGTGAATAATATAAAGAGTTTGTGTTGTGTATATATAATGGAGAGAAAGAATCATTTATATATAGAGTGAGGAATGAGAGTTGTGATGTTGGAAGAAAATGGAAGTTGATGACTTTTTAATTGCTTCATGATTTTTGTAGGATTAACTTTAAACATTCTAATTTTTTTCAGCAAGATAACTTTCCATTCTTTTTATCTTCATCACAATATCATTATCTAAATAAAAATTGATAAGATGATCTAGCTATATATATATCTGTTCCTCCACTTTTTTGCAAACACATTTATTTTATATATTAGCAACTTTAGAGCATCGCCATTGGTTAAAAAATTTATACTAAATCTATGATAATACTTTAAAAATATAGTTTAAGTTTCTATTTGAATCTCTGTATAAGGTCTGTCACAAAAAAATTAATATGAAAGTTTTATTTTAAATCTCTATACTTTCAAGTCAACAATTAATTGAATACTTTGAAGTTTTAAATTGTAGCTAGCTACTTAATTTAAACCAGCAAGATAGAAAAAGTAAATAGATATATTATTATCATACCTTTAGAGGAAGACTCTTCATTCCAAATAAGACAAGGGAGAAAGAAATATAATACTAGACAACTATATAATTATTGTATTTGTGATCATTTACTTTATTTTTTGTGATGTGAATCCAAAAACTTGTAATAAATTTTATTTTCCAACAATTCTTATTTTAAACTGAGTAGCAAGCTTAGGGCTGGGCATAAAAACCGAACCCAAATACCTAATCCAGAACCCGACCCGGAAAACCGGTTCGGGTAAGGTACGGGTATGCCTAAATAACTCTATTGGTTTCTATATTGCTAAACTGTGGGTTCGGGTTAGGGTCAGCGTAATACCCGTTATCCGAACGGATACCCATAAATCCCAAATAATATACAAATATATAAAATATTAACAATATTTAACATTATCATTTAATTATCCGAGACTATAATTATAATTAAATTTATACCTAAATATCCAAAATAATCAAAATATCCAAAAGTTATTTGTTGCATATGAAAAAACTTAGCCAAATTTATTTAAATTTATCCAATTTTTTTAGATTTTTTGGTTACCCGGTTATTTGGGTAGTAAACGGGTTCTAAAATTTGTAATTCAAATAGACAGGAACCCGAAAGTACCGAAACCGAACTCGAACCAAAAATCTAAAATTACCTATTATGTTCAATTTTCCTAAATCCATATAATCCAAACTCAAACGGTCTTACCCGAATCCGACCCGAAAATCCGAATATCCAGACCTATCAGGGTTTATTAACTATGAAAATGGTAACATATATGAATAATAATATTTTAGAATGTCATAAAACCCGAATAAGGGCACATTTTTTATTCTAAAGGTTACAAATATGACTCAAAGGTTACAGAAAAAAAGATGAATTTATTTACTGAGCTATTAAAAAAAAAGGTATCTAAACTATATTATATAAATCTATTTCCGAAGTCGTCAAAGAGGACCATAGAGTCGTCACAGAAAGATAAATAAATTTCACCTACCAAGTCAAAACGAGAAAGAACAAAAAGATACAGCTCCTTGAATGATCAGTACTTTTACTGAGTTTCATAGACCTTTTCAAATTAAGTAAAACAAATGAGTAGCAAAATAGAATAATTTAATAAAAGACTGAAGTCTAAACCTCATAAGATTTTTCAAGGTTGTCTAAAGAAGCGATAGGTAGCAAAACAAAAGAGACGCAAACAAAGAAAAACAAAACAATATCGAGTTTAGTCTTGCATTGGCTTCACTTGAGAGGGATAAACCTGGAGGAGTTGGTAGCACCAACACCAGGTCTACCGTGCTTAACCGGTTTGTATGAGATTGAGAACTCAGCCAAGTAATGTCCAATCATCTCCGGTTTGATCTCGACTTGGTTAAAAGTCTTTCCATTGTACACACCAATGATGCTTCCAATCATTTCAGGCACAATGATCATGTTCCTTAAATGTGTTCTCACTGCTTCTGGCTTCTCACCAGCTGGTGCCTCTAGCTTCTGCTCAATGCAAAGACACACAAAACCATTTGCTCTTTAGTACTCTTCAAACCCATTACACAAAGGGACATGACATTTTGGTCGCACACTAGAGATTTTGTCATAATCTGTAGTCTCCTAGCTAGTAAAAGACACTTACTCGCAAAAATCAAATTTAACACAAAATTGCAAAGGTGAAGGATGTATATTTCTATATAGAGATGAAAATACAAGAAGTAACATTATCAAAAACACAAACATGCCTCACAAGACTGATACAAAGAGTACAAGAACAAGACTGATACAAAAATTACAAAGCAAGACTGATACAAAGAGTACATGAACAAGCTTATGACAAAGCATCACACAAAGAGTACATGAACAAGCTTAAAGAGTGCATAAACTAAGACGAATATGTAACAATGATGATTCTATTAGCAAAGCATCACACAACACAATTCCTAGATTCGGATGATATATTTATGTTCAACAAAGATCTAATGAGTGATAGGGGAGATAAAGATTGTACCGCTTTGCGCAATTTCTTGATCAAAGCCATAGGTTTCCTGGTCAATCCTCTAGAGAACCTATGGAAACATATACCAAAACACGTCAGTCATGACATAACCAAGAGAGTAAAGCTTTTCTTGGTTCAAAGAAACTAACCTTCTACGGATACGTGCACTAAAATGCTTGACAAGATCTTCGGTGGACATGTCGAGGAGAGCATCGAGATCGACTCCTCTGAAAGAAAACTTCTTGAACGTTCTCTTTTTCACGATTCCAGCCGCAGCAACCTCTGGTTCTACATCCGCCTATAGATTTCACATGACCAGATATTACAACTATTAGAAAACCTAACCACAGAAACAGATTTGAGATAGACAGAGATCTGAGGAACTAACCATTGTTCGATTGATGAAACCTAGAAATCTAAGAACCTCGAAAACCAAAGTGTCTGCGGAAGCGACAAAGAACTTAACTTAGGAACCAAATAAAAAGGTGAGGCAGGCTAACCCTAGAATAGGGTACTACTTCCTAGGTCTTATACTTAGATACCCGAACCGGGGAAACCAAACCGGGACCAATTAAATCGGTAATAAAAAGCTAAACCGAACCAAACCGAATATCTAAACACCCAAGACTAGACCATACACTTATGTTTTTTTTCATCCGAGCCCATTTAAATCGAAAAAAATAAGACAATGAAATTAATCCATAAAATTAATCTTATTGAAATATTGTCAATATTGTATAAGAAAATAGCTAGATAGCCCAACAATCAGAATCATATTAAAGTTCACTTATCAAAATATAGCTAATTTTTATAGGGAAACTAACCGTATATCCGATTTATTAGTGAATTATACTTTTAAATTTTAAAGTATAGTTACATTTATTTGATTCTTGTCTGGATTATGTCATTCCGATAATGCTTGAGGATGCTAGTGGGACTGCGTTTCCACGTTACGTTTGATTTTGAATGTAATTCGTTTATTTTCTTTGAATAAAATGTGGACACTATCGTCTCCTCCCATTTACCAAAATGTAGCTAGATTTTATTGAGAAATTTTAAGAATTTGTCAAGTCCAAATCGTCAAAAGTTTTGAATTTCATATTGGTGAATTTAATGAGCACAGGCCATTACATTTTGTCAAGGAAACCTCTCTCAAAATGGTTTCTACGAGCTATGAAAATGCCAATTCATACAGCTTTTAGAGATTTGATATTGTCAATGCTTAAATGTCACAACATTATACACAAAAGATTATTCCAAACAGTTTAGCTAGAGTTGCTCATGTGACTGAACTAGTACTTGAGAACCAAGATCCTTCACATATATATAGTTACAGAGACAGAAAGATCCGAATAAAACTCAAGTCTGAATCTGAGACATTCGATGTCCTCTGAACTTTACACTCTCATTTTTTGAACCATACAGAAAAAAATACAAATGTAGATGTAAAAAACCTATTGAATAAATACATTTGGTCCTCAAAAACAAAGTATCATCTATTTGAAATAAATATCCTAAAAGCCTAACATTTTTCTCTGCTGAATTTTCCGACTAAGTTCCTCCGTGGACGGGATGCCGTCGCCGCTTCTTCCGGTACTTTTTTCCGCGCTCCGCCACCACGCCTTCAACTCATCCTGCTCAGATAATCAATGCAAAAGATTCAGATATGACAACTTATTATATACCTCAAGAAAAGTAAGTTGTGGGTTATTAATTATACCTCAAGAAAGTCTTGATTTGAGATAAACTGAGACTCAACAAGGCAAGTTATCCCTTTAACCTTAACTGAGATTGAGCTATTCTCTGAATGTCTCCTTGAGCTTTGGCCATCTGTGGTCCCTGGTTAAAACCAACATGTTTAAGTTGAAAAGATCCCAGGAAATACACGATTTCGATATTGATTTATATACAAATGTACCAACCATCTATGCGGGCTACGTAGTACCCTGTTCCTCCAAGCCCTTCTTCCCATTTCCCGAGCCTTAACCGCAAGAAGAACCCTTCAAGACCCGATACAGACTTCTTGGTATTTAGCCATCTGAATATAATGTCAAAAAGATGTTAGAGCCTCGTAATGTGGCGGGACAATGTTAAGTTTGATCTGGAACTTACTTGAGAACGTGTGTGCGTGTCAAGCGAAGAACTTGAACAGCATCAAAGACTGCTTTTGGTACGTCTGTGAAACCACTTAAGGGCAGTAGCTTTGTGCCAGAGGTAGAAGCTAAAGCTTGCTTCACCGCTCTATCTTCAGCTCCTGAACTATACAGTGGAGCATTCGGGCATGTTGCAGCCCAGTGACTTAGCTGAAAACATCTAATACATAGGCTTGACGCTTCTTCTCTTCCATTCCGAGCACTGATGTTTTGTACTAGATCTCTGAGCTCAATATCAGTTACTTCCAGACAATCCCGTAAACAATGACCCTTTTTACCGCAGTAGAAACAAATTAGATTTGTCTGTTCCACCTCTGCGTTCTCAGCTATGTCACCTGACAGCATGATGTGTTTCATTGCTTCTAATTTTCTTGCAAATAAAGAAGCCATTGCTTCTGAAGAATCTATTCTCATTGAAGAAACTATGGGAAGAGCCGTGTTCTGTTTATCAAGCCTATATAGCAAGCTGATATTGGGTTTAGGCTCAATAAAGACATTATTGTCTTCCAGCATTTTCTGCGAATCACGAGTTTGAGTTGCGTCTGAGGCTGAATCATTGCCCTCTTTAGCCGTTTCTCTGGCCTTTTTCTGAGAACTTATAGAAGAAAACCGGCTTATCCACAAACTTTCAAGACCAGAGTTTCTGTTGGTTAAACATGGACTAACCTTTCCATCAGCTTCACCGCATATTTTTGGCTCTTCATTCAGCTTAGACTTACTTAGAGGCATCAAAGAGATGTTTGGCTCTTTGACCTCATGTTTGTCCGCTGACGAGAGTGGTTCGCTTGTCTGATTAAATCCAACTTTTTCTGATGAAATGTTGGGTTCAGCCACTGGACCAATCTCATTACCAGATGAAGTCACTTTGGTAATGTCACATTCTTCAGGAATCCAGGGAAGTTCCTGCAAAGAAGTAGCATTAGCATCATTCGCGAAATCCATCTCCACGGCATCTTGACTTTCTTTCTTCGGACAATATATAGACTGGAAAAAAGACTGGAAACCGGTGTTTCTGCATCCGCTATTTTCCTTCACACAGCATGGACTCAATTTTTGTTGGTCAGCAATCACATTAACTTGGCCATGACCATTAGCATCTGAAGTAGTAGTAAGGGCTACAAAAGGAGAATCATCTTCTTCATTACCTTTCCAGATTCCTTTTGTCATATTTGATATCCAATTCATAAAGGAACTATCTTGCTTGAGCTTTGAAGTTGACCCCAAACATTCTTGACTTAGCGTTTTGAGCCGTTTGCTTCCAAGAATCAGCTGCTGCTCAAAGCCTGGTCTTTTCTTTCCCCTCGTGAGCAAACCCGCACTATTGCAACTTTCTACACTCCCAAAACTCTCATCATCATTCTCATCACCCTCAGAGTTTCCATCAGATAAAGCTTTTTCTTTCCCTTTTTCTTTGGCACGACACCAATAGGAAACACTTGGTCCAGCCTTTTCAACATCTGTCTCACCTGCCGGCAAGTATTCCCCTTTGCCTTCACATGCTACAACAGCAAGAGTGGTGAGATTGTTCTCATCCATTGATTCTAAACATGTTCCGGCATGTTCTCTATTATTTGTCTTATCCTCTTCTTCTTTATCTCCGCGGTTAGTCAGTTCTCCTTGAGATCCAGTACTTTCCATGTTCAACTGTTCATTCGCCAACGAAGCTTCTGTTTTTCCTCCAATACCTCGCGGAGAATCTACTCAGTATCCAAAACAACCATAGAAGACAAAAACAACAGCTTAGATTCATAGTTGCCATTAATGGTAAACATACTCAGATATTAACTTCATCTAATCATTTTCACCTGAGGATCTTTTGGAACTTCCTGCCTCTTCACTATCTATATCATCATTAGTATCAACCTTATCCTCAACCACATCAAGTTTCATATCCTCAACAGAACCACCAATCCCTGCAAACACACAAGAACTCGTTATCGAAAATAAATTTCTACGGACTTCCAATCAATTTGGTGCTGTTGTTTATCATTTTAGCAACCTGACAATGGTCTATTCATCCCACTACACGCTTGGTCACCTTGATCTTGGGTTTCCAACTGGACATTTACACGAACACCGTCTTCTTCTTCTTCTCCTCCTTGCTCGATACTTGTGCTACTCGAATGAACCGCCATATTGGTTTGTCCTAAATCAAAGAAGTTAGGAGAGAGTAATTTTGCCTTTCCAGTGAAACTGAAATCTGCACATCTTAGGCTTAGACCGTTCCGAGGAGACCAAACTAACTCTGATAAAGCATCCACCGAAGCAAACTTCATCCTTGCTTCTGCATTTGCAGCACTAGGACCACAACTCGATGACGAACGTTCTAGCTCTTTACTTTGCTCATCTCCATCTCCCATATCTCCTGAAACCAACCACCCTACAACATAAACAAACCAGAACCCATACCAAAAAATTGACCTCAACCCACAATATCATCACATCACTTAGCTTACAAAACAAGTAAACACATCGATTCAAAAACCCATACAAATTAGGCATAACACAGTAAACAAAGAGTAATCAAAAACCAAACTTTCTCTGATTTCATAAACCCAACATAAGCTAATTTCAAACCCAGAGACTCAGATCAAGCAAATGACAAAACTTTATCAAAGCAATAATCTCAAAAGAATCCAAAAACAGAGTAAAGTCTTTAAATTTCTGAAACCCCGAAACTTGGATTCAAAAACCCAGAAATCTCAGAACACAAAGCATCAAACTTTCAAAGAATTAAAAAAAAAAAAACCCAAATCAAGAAACACACAAAGTTACCTCCATGAGTAAACGATTACACTACTAAAGCAAATCCTCCACTAAACAAGAAAATGAAAGAGAGAGAAGAAGAAGAAGACGAAGAGGACAGCGCCAAGCGGCTATGGCTAACTTGCTTCAAAAGCTTTTTAATTAACTCTTTGCATTTTTGATGTTATAAGGCCCCCAGACCGCCACGTGTTTGCATTCCTCTCCATACGTTTCCCGCGTTACCAAATAATTAAAAAACAAAACAATTATTAAGTATTTAATTTATTTTGTTTTCTGATTTTGGCCTATACACGTTAAATTGATATTTAGAACTTAGTGTACAATAGTAGTAAGATAATGATACCCAAAAGATTTGTATTCATGCGAGATATTTTGTATTTTAATTTGATAAGATTTTCTCTTCTACCCTAAAATTTTCTATACAAGAAAATGGTTCTGTTTTTACTATTGTTAAACCAATGATGATAAGAGATTTTTTTCGTCTTTTTCTTATATTTCGTCAAGTTAATGTTAAAACGAACAGTTTGGCACACAAAGTACATACTAAACTGGTTCGAAGTCTTTGTATAAACAATATACCGTATATATAGCTCATTTGAGTTGAACGTGTAAGATTGTTAACAATAAAAATGAAATTCGATTCTAAATTTTTTAGTCAATCAAATTCGATTCCAATATATCATTTTTTCGACTAGAATAAATCGTGTTACTCTGTATAATAGAAATTGATTTTTGTGGATATACATACAAAATAAATAATAATTAGTAGTTTGAATAAATATAAGTTTTTTTTTTCTTTTTGGTAAAAAAAAAAAGGACATGATGAGTTATGAACTTATGATGTCCTCTTCTGCTGTCAAGTTGTTGTTGTATTGTATGCTTCTGTAACTGTACGGCTGCTTTGAATTTTTCACTTATAAGCTTTAAAATAGATAATATCTTTTATAAACAAATTTCCATTTTAAATCCAATGTTTGATACTTGATAGTATAAGAATGATGTGTATGTGTCAGTCTTAATAAAGTATAAGTCCCCAAGCTATATAGGCCACACGTTCATATTTGTGTTACGTATTAACTCCATGTAGGTTAGTATGTGTCAATTTCTTTCTTTTTCTATAAACGAACACGTCTACTGATTTTTTAAAAACATAAGTTTTATAAGTTTGGATTGTTCACGTAGAAAATTCAAATTTTAGTTAAGTTTACGTAATTATAAATATATTTTAAGGTTTTTTTGTATAAAAACGATAAAGTAATTAAGTTTACTAAAGAAATTATTTACTAGTTTATATGTTAAAAAGTAATTGAAAATGAGAGAAAGGAACTGCCTATGATTGTTATATGATATATGGTTTCATCTCTAATTATTTTCATTGTGAAAAATGTTAGCATGTCTTTTCACAATAATATTTTTATGTGTTCATTTTTCTTTTTCTATTGATAAACCTTTTTTTTCTTTGTGAAAGCCTACCAAACAAAGATTTATGACTTTCCATCTTATATAAAATGCATGTTTTATGCTATAGAGACATGCCACATGCCTATCCTAGACAAGCTATCTAACTTGAAAAAGATATTGCTTAACAAACTACATATATACATAAGATTATACTAAAGCTAAATCGTATTATAAAAAGATTTTAATTGGCAATTTGTACTGCTTTAACCGATATCAAAAGTGTTACAAAAAACGTTATTATCAGCAATTTTTGGTTTTGGTTGACGAATATAATAAAGCTGTAAATATAAATATAGTTTTTTAGATTTACCAATCACAAAAAATTTATGGAAAACTTTACTTTTTGCTTTTATGTACCGTTTTTAGATATCGTTTTTCCTTACAGTTTTGTACTATTCCATAAAAGCTTATTTTCTTTTTATAAAACATAAAAAATGTTTTAAATATATTATAATATGCAATAACTTGTTTTCTTTTATAATATAATAAATATTGCTATTTATCCGTCTTTATATCTACTTAAAATACGATAATATTAAAATTAATTTTATTTTTATATTTAAGCACCCAAGAAAAATCCTACTATTGGTCAATCAAGATTTTCAAAATTAATCTAAAGTTGCTTAACCATCTATTTTTTCAAAATTTAATATAAAAAAAAGATTGGTAAGCACCTATGAAGTGTGCTTACTATTGGAGGTGCTCTTACCACTTCAATTTACAGTTTTTGGTATAGTTTTGAGTATGTTACGAATCGGACCCATCTCATTTAATTTACCAATCATAAACTGATAAAAATGTTGGTAGGATGTAGTGAAAACTGAAAACTCATATGTAGCACTATAGCCATATTTTCTCGTCATGTTCCTTTTCTAACCAACAATATAAAGTTTAAAATGATGTAGGGTATCTTTTGTTTTCTGCAATAGCAAATTTAAAACTATAACCTAATTGTATAGATACTAATCTTTAAATCAAATATTATATAGCTCCAACCTTAATCAATCTTTATTTAGGATACAATATGATCTATAAAGAGGAAGGAACCGAGAAAAGAAAAATGAAACATCACGGGACTATAAAAGTTTCTTTCATCATCAACAAGACATTGTTTACAAATTTTGTCTTCAATTTAAAAGAAGAAAAAAAAATCTATCACTCGCAAATCAAAATCACAAGTCTTTGCTTTGTAGTCCATAAATATTAATAAAATGTAGAATAATTTTGGTGAAAGCATTATGTATAAACTTTAAAAAGTTGAAAGCTGATGGATTGAAAACAGCTAGCAATAGGTCCCAAATATTGAATGTTTGGTTATGGGTGTTAATATCGACCTCTTGTTTATTGTTCAACTACTTGATAGAATCATTGTCACATCTGTTGAATATTACTTGATAGAATCATAGTCATATTGTTGAATATTACTTTAATCGTATAGCTCAAAAACTATTATTTGCACCTAAATACACATTGGCTCTTGGGTAATTACCAACTAATCTTTGTGATACTAGTTATTAGATAAGCAAAGTTGAACCAATCTTTTGTTGTATTTGAGTGGGAGATTTGGCCACATGGGTCTCTCTGGTTAGGCATCAAAAAGATAATGTGGAGAGGGTTTCACTTCTAAGCACATTTTATTCTTCTTCTTTGGGTGTGGAGCTGATCAAATATTCCAATTCAATATAATTTGCGAGTAAAACCAAACATATGAAACAAATGATTGCAATGTAAATAGCAATAGTTACAAAAATTTACAAGTAGCAACTGATCATCAAAATTACGATAAGCGCATGTCTACTGAGTTTATTTCATTGTTTATATAGAAGTAACAATGTTGGAGATGCCAAAGAACTTTTACTATATACTAAACTCAATGATAGTAGTTAACTAACCTTCCTTTAGTTCAACAAAGATATAGAAATAAATAAATAAATAAAGCTTGGACTCCTAAAACAATATGCATATTTAATTACTGATTATCGTTTGGTAATTGTTTATAAAAAATGAAGAAAAATTGTACACAAAGAGATCTCTTCCAAAGTGTGAAGTATGAACACAATTGCATATTTTTTGGTCTACATAAAGATACCAAAAAGAAAATAGAATAATTAAGTGGTCAAGTTATAAAAAGGAAAGTGAAAGTGATGTAAATAGAAATGTAAATCACGAGTTAAGACCTAATTTTTTGTTTGTCTACATGATTAAATTATAAATCCACCTAATTGTAGTATTTATCAGTACCACTGCGATGCATTCACATGTTAGTCTAGTCTTCGTCACTTTCAATTTTATAACTTTTCACAGTCCCTCTAAAAATTCAACATTTGCGTAATTATTTTTTCATCGAATAATTAATTATAAGTTTGATCGACCATTTTTATATATAATTTGTTAGCACTATATACTTTATATATAAGTACATATCAAATCAAACTTTAATATCTTCGTAAAGATAGACTATTGAAAAAATCAATATGAAAGCATTTCTAAAGCAAGAAAGGTTAGACTTTTATGAGAGCTTTATTTTTTTGAATTTAATATTAATTTTTTTTTTTTTAATTTAATGTTAAATTATATTTTAAAAAATATCGTTTTTACAACTAATGCAATTCTTGTTTAAAATAAAATTGAAATATACTTTAGAGCTTAATAACTTGATTAAATGCGAAAGTGAATCTAACGTTGAAAGTCTTCCTCATAACGTCGATCGCTTGCTTCTTGAATTGTGGAAAGCTGATCCTTCACTTGTTTATAAAGCCACTCCGTGAGCCAAACTGCTGGATTTGGAGCTTCCGCATGCCGTCGTCCATTACGCTCTCTCCATACCACGCAGATGACTGTTTGGAAAACATACCAAAGTAGAAAAGTGTTTACTCGATCATGTTGATGCTTCAAAATGAAGTCTAGCAGAAAAGACCAATATGATGTGTAACTAGATTTGAAAATATCCTTAGCGAGAGAAGCCCAAATTCCCGAGACATAGTCACAAGAGAAGATAGATTATAGAATATATAATATAGATGATAACTTATGTAACGTTTCCCTCTTAATTGGCTTATTTGAGCTAATCTTACAGTTTTTATTGATAAAAAAAAAATTACTAGAGGTTTAATTTATATGCACGCAAGTAAATTAAGAAAATTTAAATGTAGGAACTTCAAATTCAATGTTTTCTTCAAAAAAAAATTCAAAATCTGTTTTCATTAATATTATAAAACTAAGAAAGAAGATTATCACACCAAGTGGTAACTCTCTAGGGTTAACTACATAGATGTTCACTACAAGATATATACATATATATATATATATATGAATTTTAACTCTGAAACGACAAATAAAACGAAACAGATGGAGGATATCAGAATTAACGAAATAAAAACAATTGAAAATGTATAAATAATATTAAAAAATATATAGTCAAAAGCAAGAAAACAGTTAGACTTGATCCAATTTCCACACTGATTACAACAAGAAGATTCAACGAAATTGGTAAAGAGAGACAGAGGAAAAGTGCAAAAAAGAGATGTCCCTCATCAATTAAAGCTGCCATTAAATTTCGATACCTTACTCTTTTCTTCCTACAAAATTAACCAGCTACTAAAAATCAGTTCATATTAGTATAAAGTTGTAACGTTAATACAATACTATAGTTTTGATTAACATGAGTTGAATTGAAGATCGAAATGATACGAGTTGGTCAATGTAATGTTAACAATCAGTTCATATCATTTTGATCTTCAATTCTTGTTAAACCATTTGATAACACTATAAACCAATATATTCACATCACCAAAGTATTCTTATATATGTGAAATCGCCAATAGTTACCATATATTTGTCAAAAGTAAAACAAATTGTATATATTGTTAGGTTGGAGAAACAAATGTGTATACTAATCAAGATTTAACAGATAAATTATGAAAACTAGATATGCCAAAAAGATTTGATATACTCGAGAAGAACCTATTATGTAACTTGTGGAACGGATGATGATGAAGACAAAACACACACACACATGAGATGAGAGTGTTATGTTCTTTCTTGGCTTACCGGAGACTTAGGTAATTGATCTTCAAGATTGACAAAGCAAAACGAGTAAGTTGAGGGGAATGAAGCCTGGTCCGACATCATCATCATCATGATCCTGAGATGGAATGGTCTCGAGCCAAGCATCATCCACCTGAACTTTTTGGCTCAGACGACAGAGAAGAGAAAGGACAAGAGATGAGAGACAGGATTGTTTGAGGAGAAGTCTATACGGCCATGCATGTATATAGTTTATTAGAGATATGGGCCCTTTTATTACCACAAGGGCCTAGAGACACCTAAGTTTCAAGATATATGTATGAACTGAAACTATACAATTCATTAGTTTGGTATGCCAAACAAAGAAGTATTCCCATTTCAACAATCACATTCCACTTTAAGGATTTGTTCTATTCCCAAGTCAAAAAGAAAGAAAAAAGTGTCTTTGACAACCATCCATAATACTATTAGCTGCAGAAAAATTTAGTTCCCTGTCACAATCTAAGAGCTAACTAACAACTTTGTGTCATCTTCATTCAAACGCTGATAATTACATTAACATTGTTTTAGAACTGTGTGACTGATAACTTGATAAGTGATGATGGCCACAGCATTTATTAAATTTTCTTTACATTGTCAAAGATGCATATTTGAGCATAAAGAGAGAAAAAGAGGTGGAGAATGTGCAAAGCTTCTGGATGAGAAAGAGGGTTTTGCATCAGTCTGTAGAGAGCTTAGCCAATGTGAGGGAGAGTACCTTTACTCCATTAGCCATGTCTTCAGGAGATGAGTATTCTTCAGGTTTATGGCTGTATCCTGCAAAAAATCACACACAAAGGAAAAAAGGTCTTAATGGGGGATGCTGATCCGATCAAGATCACAGTCTTATTGATTCGCATATGTACCTTTGTAGCACGGGATGAATATCATACCCATTGGCGATATCCTGGAAACAGCAATACAACAAAGTTCAGCATCACTCTAAGCAATAACATTGACACTAGAAAGTAGAACGTAGACTCATGAATCCAACCGACTACGAACTAGCGACTAGAAAAATGGACAAGGAACTGGAAGTGTTTTTGAATTGTTCTAATGTTATGAGTTAGGACTCTCCAGGGGAGTAATGTCACAAACTTGCAAAAGTAACAGGGTTGATGATGCTCCATTTGAACTTTTAGGGTTGTATTCTACACATGAAACTTGTGATTTATGTAGTACCTGGCCATGAAGAGAGAATCATGATAAGCTCGGCTTATCATCTTCTTGTGCGATAAGTTAAGCTCTGTGGCTGACTCTGCCATTTTTTTTATTACTAGTTTGTCTGAGAGAGCTGGTGGATCTTGATTTACAATCTTGAATTCTGATAGCTTCACTTTTCGTTTTGTAGCTATTGTGTTAGCAGATTCCTGAATTTTCTTGATCACAGTGTTTCTTCTAGCTTCATCAATATCCCTTGTATCTTTTAAAATTCACAAGATAGAAAGTCAGGCACTTAGTCTCAACGATCAAAACCAAAACACTTAAGGACTACTTTCAAATTCTTCAAGGGCTCACTTAAAGCATTATATATTTACCAGGCTTTCTCTATTATTAATGTCTGATGGAACATAAGGAATTACCGATTTCAAGATGAGATTTGCTTGGAATGCTGTTGATAGCCCCAGGATGTAGCTCCAGAATACCTTAAGACGCAATAATTCATCTTGTGAATAAGTTCCATTGAGAGTACGTTCTTTAGAAATTAGTGAGCCAAAACTTACCAACAGTTCCTACAGTATCTATTGAATCTGAGTCTAATACATGTTTCTCCACGGCTAGAGCCAACTCTGCAGCCGCAAGCCCAGCATCATTTCTAAGAAAACCGCCATTATACATGGATCAGTGTATTAGTGATTAAGTAGACAGTTAATTCATATAATATAGCTCACCTATATGGCATAAGCACAGCACCAGCATGACCTCCATTGCCTTCAAATTCGACTTTCAAACTTGCTGGGGCGGCAATTGCGGTTACTACACCGATATCCAAACCTGTGGTAAAATATTATCTGATATCAGATTAAAATGAAAGAGAGAAAAAGGAAGAAACTATTAGATGTAGAAAAGGGAAATTAACCAGACCTTCCTCTTCAAGTATAGGTCCTTGTTCGATATGCAACTCTATAAAGGCAAAGTAACTTCCTTTCTTCAAGAACACACTAGACAAGTCATCATCTTTGTCTTCTGCGTATCCAGCTGATCTAGCTGCTTCTATAAAGGAAACATTTTGGCCATCAACAACTGTAGTCTTTAATGCCTCTGCTAGTTCTTTGCTTCCAGCAAGTAAGCGACTGCATCAAGAACGTTTACATGTAAGAAAAAAAGAAACAAAACATGGATCTGTCATTTGTTCACACAGATCAAAATAAGAGTACCTTCCTAAACAACTGATCCCAAATCGGGTTGGTTCTTCAGATGTGAACAAAATTATCTCCAACGATCTCTTCGGCTTAAACGCCGACCTTACAAAAACAATACAAAAACCAACAAAGATAATCAGAAGACACTATCTGGGACTTCACTTTCTACAATCCAAAGCTTCTTCATACCTTTTCAAAACATTGATAGCTTCAATTGCACCTAAAACACCAACAACACCATCATACTTGCCAGAATATGGAATAGCATCTATATGAGAACCAGTCGCTACAGCAGGAAGACTTGATTCTGAACCATCCCTAAGAATCAAACCAACACATCAGATGAATCAGACAATCAAACATACAAAACAACAAAAAACTTATCTTCTTAACAAAACAATGAATGCAACACAAAAAGAGAGAGAGAGCCAAACCATCTGCCAAATATGTTGCCAACTGCATCTTCTCTAACAGTAAGACCAGCAAGTGCCATCAAGTTCTTCACATACCTAACCAAATCAACCAATTCAGAGTAACAAAAATCTAAACTTTACAAATTACTCAATCAAGTAAAGAACTGATTCAAATTACCGTCGAGCCAAGACATCTTTATCAGTATAAAGAACTCTAGTGACTGATGGAGAAGGAGCATCAGAAAAATTAGAAAGCTCATCTATCTAAAACCAAAACACAAAAGATCAGCCATTAAAACTCAAAAAGCTCAAAACTTTAGAAATCTACTGTTCCACTAACACGAACCCAGTTTTCAAATCATCGATTAAGATACAAATGATCACTACTTTGAACCTGTTTTTGTAGTCCTTGAGCATCAACGGAGAGTGAAGAAGCGAGATTGATGGAACCGAATTGACCCGGTTCGTGAATTGGGTATCCGGAAAAATCCTCCATTGTTCTAATTGATTCATGTTGTTGTTGTTGAGCTGAGCTCGAAGGTAGAAGAAGAAGGCAGATAACGACAACAAGAGCAACAGAGCAGAAGCGTTCCAAAGTTTCCATTTTTTTCTGTTCTCTGAGTGTTTTTGATTCTGAGAGAGAGAACAGAAATAATGTTCATAATTTGGTATATACTTTGGAAAAATTAATTTAATTAATAATATTATGAATTTATGAGTTATGAATATCCAAATTGTTGTTTTTGGGGAATCCTCAAAACTCAGTGGGAATCTGACAGAGTGTTTTGTTGGACTCTACTGATTCTGATCTCATCTCATGTAAAATACTTTTTTATATTAAGATTAAGATTTTAGATTAAAACTAAAATTGAGTTGATATGTTTAGGGATATTTGTTTTTTAGTATCATTCAATTCTAGATTTATCAACTTCATTAATAACTGTTATTAGTGCAAATGATAGGCCTGGAGGTATTTTATTACATAGCTGGCCCGTTTCATCAAAGGCCCAATATGAGTATTCGTTTCATCAAAGGCCCAATATGAGTATTAAATCCGAATATGGTATACATATACCAATATTATTATCAGTCAATTAGTTTGAAGCAGGAAACCATATACCAAAAGTTGACTAGACGTAGTTGACAGATGCGGTTATCAGTTTTTGTTCGTTTTCCTCAAATTAAGAAACGCGTTACGCGTCCAGATACGATATCTGGATGCAAATAAAACTTATCCAAAAAAACTATATATTTTGGATGAGTTTGAAAGATGAGTTTCAAATTACCAAAATCTAAAATACTTTCATTTAACTATAACTTTAATTATTTTTTATTTACTATTTTTTTGTAAAATTCTTAAAATAATGGTTTCTAATAAAAATAACAAAAACCTGCAAAATCTTAATTTCCCGCCAAACCTACAATATCTTGTTTTCTCACCAAAATCGCAAAAATAACAATTTCTTGCTAAAATCATTAAAAAAAAATCTCGTCAAAACCGCAAAATTATGGTTTCTTACTAAAACTGTAAAATCTCAATTTCCCACCAAAACCTTAAAATCTTGATGTTTCGTCAAAACCGCAAAATCATGGTTTATCGCCAAAAGGCCCAAAACCGTAAAGTCTCGATTTCCCGCCAAAACCGTAAAATCTTATTTTCCCGCCAAAATCTTAAAATCTATTTTTCCCGTCAAAATCGCAAAATCATGATTTCTCGCCAAAATTAAAATCCAATAAACAAGTACACAATAACCTAATTGGACTATGTCGGAACCAAAAGCGCTATAGTATATAAACCGATCAAATAAAATTAACGGAATAAAAAAACCCAAATTAAAACCCTAGATTCCAAATCAGAGGATAACACCTATGAAGTAAGAATTCAAAAATTAAAAAAAAAAAAAAAAAAACTAACACCAACCTTCATCGATCTGATAGAAACTATCTTGAGAAGATCATCAATCTAAAATCAAAACCCTTGGTAGAAACTATCTTATCTTGATAACTATTATCTTCTCTTCTGTATGTTCCTCAATGATTCTTGTTTTTGTTCCTCGTACGTAGATGTCTCAATCTTCTTGAGATTGTGTCTGTACTCAACAACTACTTGCTCAAACACTTCCACCTTAAACATGTTCATTTTCACCTTAGGGTTTATGTGATCTCTAACAAACGCAAACGCTAATTGGTCTCGCGGGTTAAACGCATCTAACTCGTTGAACATGAAGCACAAGAATAGGTTGCTTCTTTTTCCGTATCTTTCTCAGTATCAATGCACTATCTGGTACATCTATTTCAATAACAATTAACATGACAAATCATATTTTTTACTTCTACACGATTATATCCAACAAAACAAAAAAATCTACAACTAGAAACAAGCAAGTCCCCCACCACCTGGGGTCCGAGTAGCATTGGCCACGGGTTTCGAGATTTAACATGGTTTTCTCTGGCTACAGGAGATTAGTCTTTGGGCCTAGAAAATCTTTGGAATCACTCTCTAGTTTTATCAACCAAAAACAAAAACAAGGTGAAAACAAAAATATCATTGGAATCACTCTAGTTTTATCAAAAACAAAAACTAGTTTTATAAATCTTTGGAATCACTCTCTAGTTATTAACAAAAACAAAAACAAGCAACCACACTCTAGTTTTATCAACCAAAATATCATTAATTTTATACTTCAAAAGAGGTAAAACTTTATTATACTACTTTTTAACAACACCGGTATAAGACATGTCAAATCAAATTTTAATACAAACTAATTTAGTTAAGTTTGATATTATATATGCAATCTTAATAAATTTAAACAAATTCCAGCATAATAAAAAAAAATTGCCTCATAATAAACCGCGAATTAAAATCTAGTAAAACTTATTATCGTATAAACATACAAATTGTTCCTTATTACAACATTCACAGTCAAGCATATCTTATTACACACATACGTTAAACATCAAGATCCATAAATATTGCTTCACACACGTATATATATAACAACACTTAACCAACGGAAGGGGTTCGTGTAACAATGCCGTGGTCATTAACACGAACATAAACCCTATCACAAACCACAACAGTCAAAACCACTGCCTTTTCAGAAATGATCCGAGCCGTCACTTTTGTGTTCTCTCTATCGATGATCTCTTTTGCTTCATCTCCTCTTCTCCCTACCAGTTCAGGCCATGAACTCTTCATCCCTTCACCAGCAGTATCTATACATATACACATTGGTCACATACTCACGTTACATATACATTTATTACTACTAAATTAAACTATGATATATTCTATGTTCGATTTATGATTGATTATTTACTATATACAACTATCATGCATGCATGCACTCTATGTCTATATATATACATATCAAAATCGTCTCAAAGATGTGTGAATATGTGAAACTTTTATAATAAACGCACATATTTGGTGTGTTAATAATTTTTGTACGGAAAATATAGAAATTACAAAATATTAATACATATTCAAAATAAAAGAAGACTCTATCTTGCACTTGCTAAGAGATGATGTATATGTCTTATATGTAATACCTTGGCATACACCCGATCGAGACATTTCTCTTCTCTTTTTACTGTTTTGATTCTCTCTTACTTCTTTGGGATCGAGGTTATGTGTTGTGAAGATTGTAAAAGAAACCAAAATGGCTATTTATAGAGAACTTTGTGGTGGCTATTCACTTTACTTTAGGATATGTATGTACATACATCAATTGAGAAAGATAGATGGATTCGTACGCTTTTGACCCAACGTCGTTTTGTTTTTCAAAACTGTCAATTATATATATTTGACATGTATTGTCAATATTGTTATAAATAGTTTCACCTACTTTTTAGTTACACGTAAGAGATAGATAAGGATATGTATGAACAAACATGTTACTAATACATAGTTTAATCGAGCAAGTCGTGAGTGTTTTGATTACGGTATGTAAACCGTAGTAGGCTCTCTTAAATCCAAAGCGTATATTTCTGAAAATTTGTGGCCGTATTTGAATATTTTAAGTTGACTTTATTGGTCATAGCTCTATACGATACATTCACACATTAAATATTACTCCAAGTGAAGATGAGTTGGCTCTGATGATTTGAAGACGATATGATATATCTCTATCAGATCCTAACGTTTATATTATTACTATATTCGGGTGGCTTTAAAATTTTTATATTACGATTCAAATCACTCGAGAAGTCAATATTGAACAATCGATGTACTCTATAAATACCATATGTTTGGTATTAAGAGAAGAACACAATACAGAAACTAAAACCACACACAAAGTCTCTACAACTAGAGATCAATACATTTACCCAAGAAAAGATGACAAGTATCTGCGAAGGTATTTATACATTATTAGTAAGTATATACTCGTTATATCACTAGCTCTTAAACTTATTAGATTAGGTTCCTTAATCTTGATATGGCCAAGTGACATAAGTGTGTATATATTAACAAACAGATCCAGGTAAAAGCTCGTGGCCAGAGCTGATGGGAACGAGAGGAGAATATGCAAAAGAAGTGATCGAAAGAGAGAATCCCAAAATGAGAGCAGTCATCATTTTGGAAGGAACAGCTGTTCGTGAGATCTTTATTTGCTCTCGTGTTTATGTTTGGGTCAATGACTACGGAGTCGTTGTTCTAGTTCCCACCATCGGTTGATTCTATTACTAACACGTACGTACGGGCGATACCACATATCAAGAAAATGTTATATGATCGTTATTCATGGTCTCTTAAGCAAATATTAATCTAAAATTTGTTAAAAAATAATTGTTGTCTCTAAGCAAATTTCAATTTAAAATTTTTAAAATAATCATTGTTGTCTTATACGTATATGTATGTGTAACACGTGTGTACTCCAATATACTTTTGTACTATTTTGCTAATTACTTTATCAAAATGTACTAAAACTCCAATTATTCCTATATATTATTACTACTATAAATCATCGTTTGTTTGTTTGTATGACCCAATTTAATAATAATAATGAAATTTTTATCTCTCAATTAAACATAACCAATATTAGGTTACCGGATTTTTATTTATTATATATGTGTGTAATGATATAACTAATTATATATGACTTATTTTTTAATTATATATATTTAGTTATATATGTGTATAATTATATATATATTTTTAGTTACCTACTTGTAAATATTTAATTTTCAATAAATTTAGTTTACAATCTCCTTTGATCCTTTTACTTTAGTTAACATTTTTGTTTAATTTAGAGGTTAGTCTACTGTATCCCAATTAAAGAGATTTTGAAAGCCAAATATAACAAGAGATTGTAAATTAAATTGATTATCAAGTAAAATAGATAATAGAACTATTTTCTTATCATAAACAATGAAACATACAATGATACAAATCAAGGCATATTATATATGCCTTGTTTCTTTATTCCAACATTCACAATCAAGCACACATTTTATTTCACACATATTATGTTACATATTAAGTTCCACATTGATTCTTCATATATAATTAGATTAACCAACGGAAGGGGTTTGTGTGACAATGCCATAGTCATTGACACGAACATAAACCCTATCGCAAACGATAACAGCCAAGACAATTGCATTTTCAGAAATGATCTTAGCCGTCACTTTAGTGTTCTCTCTATCGATGATCTCTTTTGCTTCATCTCCTCTTCTCCCCACTAGTTCAGGCCATGAGCTCTTCATCCCTTCACCTGCAGTATCTATACATATACACATTGGTCACATTTCATATATATCTACGTATACGTACGATACTATACCATGCATGCATGCATATACTTGATGAATTAGTAATTGTTTATAAAAATAAATCTTTAGTACTTTCTAATATTGCACAAGCTAAAAGATGGTGTATATGTATCTATATAATACCTGGGCACACGTCCGACATTTTCTCTTCTCTTTTTTATCGTTTTGATTCTCTCGTTCTTCTTTGGGATTGATGAGGTTATGATTTTATGAAGATTGTAAAAGAACCAAATGGCTATTTATAGAGAACTTTGTGGTGGCTATTCATTTTCTTTAGGATATGTATACATCATTTAAAATATTGAGAAATAAAGAGAGATTTGTACGTTTTTGACCCAACGTACGTAATATTGTTTTCATAATTTCTAATTTATATATTGTCAAGAATTTCACCTACGGTATTAGATATAGATAAGATATGTGACACATACACAAAGGTATTGAGCAAGTTGTGGTGATTTCAATACGGTACGTATAACGTGGACCGTAGGTTCTCACGAGTCAAAAGCGTATACTTTTGAAATTGTTAGCTATTTCTTTATATATATAAAGATAATATCAATATTTAGGAGTTTTCTTCATCATATAATATCTTATAGTTGTATTTTTATATACATCGTGTGACCACGAATCGAACTATGTTCTGAATAGTAAAAGGTGCAAATGGTTGATATATAATAAATAAAAATGTGGCAAATTTTAGTTGAATAAATGAAATGAATAATGTATTACTCTTTTATAATTTGTTTGACGTCTCATTTTAAACGAATAAATTTTTTTTCTAAAAATCAGTTTCTATGTTTCATGAATCTAACATGAAATGGTAAAATTTTGAGATGAATCTTTAACTATTATCCTATATATCATGCACACAACCCTTTGGAACCAAAGTCTTTTCATCTAATAAGTAAGTGTATGCTCGCATATATATATTTAAATTTTATGTATATATTTTCTTTTCATTGAATCTTTTGTGTGGAAAAGAAAACAACACAATTGAATAGTTCAAGCTGTCTTTATTTGCCATAGTTCTATCAGAAACAACCGCATTGGCATTATATTTGCATTCAGCACTACAATACTCCAAGTAAAGATAAGCCGGCTCTGAAACTTCATTTGATGATCAATTAACTTAAAATTGTTATTATTATGAAGTAATTAAAAAAAAGAAAAAAACTATAGAGAAAAAGATTCATTTGAAATGTAGAGGACAAAAACTCTTTACAGAAATATAGTATTATTTTTTTCCATTTTTATATAGTAATTATATATAAAGCAATGTCACTACTTATTAAACCCAAACCCAACGTGACTAAGTGTTCGTTCGATGGCCTAAAGTCTCTATAGCCATTGATTCCAGCTGAAGAATTCAAGTTTGTTGAATCTAAATCAAAGTAAGAGTATATATGTAGTTGATGTTGATGCTGATGCATCGTGCTGGTTCCTCAATCCCCATAAAGATAATTCCATGTTTGCCATATCCCATTGTGTTTGTGTTTGCTCGTTCTAATAGGGCGACGAAGAAGCATAATATTCAGGGTGAGCTAGAGAAATAGTACATTTTTAAAACATAACTATAAAACTAGTACAATCATTATTTACAATTAGAAACTTATATATTTTTACTTTTTTTTTTTAACAGCAAATCAAATATATTATATCATAACAAATGTGACATGATACATGATACATAAAGTGATAAAACCATTTAAATACAACCATTGAACCAAATAAAGGAAATTGAACACAATTACGATGAAGAAGTAGAAGTGACCCTGCTTTCCAAACGGAAGCCTTACAGGCAACAGAGAAAATCTATTAAGTCCCCTCTTCATACACTCGTACAAGGCTAACATCTTATAGATGAAATTTTTATATTACGATTCAAATCATTCACGAAGTCAATATTGAACAATCGATGTACTCTATAAATACTATGTTTGGTATTAATAGAAGAACACAATACAAAAACTAAAGAGAAAATTATATTGTATGCCATGAACAGTAACAAATATTGTATGGAATGCCACTTTTTCTTCAGCCTTCTCCCATATGCCACAAGACATAGTTAAAAAGACATTTTTGTCCTTTTCTCATCTCTCTCTCTTCTTCTCTCATTTTCTCTTTATTTATCTAACAACAAATAAAATTCTTCACAATTTTAAGAAATATTGGATCAGAGATTTTTTCCATCCGCGCCTATTCCGGTAAAGAAGTCGATCGGTTCCGATCGGCGGAATTATATGTTGCATCTCTGATGGACAAAATCCGATGGACCAGAATCGGTGGACCAGATCTGACAGACCATTTTTGATGGACCAAACATTTCAATTTTGATTAATTAATTTTGTCCATCATGCAAATCTTTTGAAACCACAAATGATTCACCAGACGATGAAATAAGTGATGCGTGTATGGAAGATTTTATCCATGATTTAGTTAGATTTACACAATAGATAATAAAGTTGTCTATAGATGGACAAGATTCGGTCAACTAATTTTGGTAGACTAGATTCGAACCAGTTATGGTGGAACAGATCTAGTCCATCAGATCTAGTCCATCATTTTTTTTTATGTGAGGGCAATTTCGTCATTTGTGTCAGTGACACAAATGGACAAACTGGCATTTTTGAGGAGGTTTTGGTCAAAGTGGCAGAAACATAATTTTGAGTTATGAAAGTGGCATAACAAACAATATTCCCAAAACTAAAACCACACACAAGTCTCTACAACTAGAGATCAATACATTTACCCAAGAAAAGATGACAAGTATCTGCGAAGGTATTTATACATTTTATTAGTAAGCATATATATATACTCGTTATATCACTAGCTCTTAAACTTATTAGATTAGGTTCCTTAATCTTGATATGGCCAAGTGACATAAGTGTGTATATATTAACAAACAGATCCAGGTAAAAGCTCGTGGCCAGAGCTGATTGGAACGAGAGGAGAATATGCAAAAGAAGTGATCGAAAGAGAGAATCCCAAAATGGGAGCAGTCATCATTTTGGATGGAACAGCTGTTCCTGAGATCTTCATATGCTCTCGTGTTTATGTTTGGGTCAACGACCTCGGAGTCGTTGTTCAAGTTCCCACCATCGGTTGATTCTATTACTAACACCGTAACACGTAATATCAAGAAAATGTATATGTTACTTATAATACGTGCGTACATGTACATGCATGTACTCCAATATATAATATTACTACTAAAAAATTATCGTTTGTTTGTTTGTATGACACAATGTAATACTAATAAAGAGACTGTTATGATCTCTAGTAAATAAAACTTAAGATTGTGAAACTTTTATTTTTGGGTAACGAGGTAATATATTATTAATTATATATGATTGGTTTTTCAGTAATTGGTTTCAAACACACCAAAAAAGACATGGCAAAAGATCGTTGTGAATGACTAAGAACAAGTTAAATTTTAAAACATGTTACTAATAAATTTTTTATTAATACTTTTTCCGTTTTTCCAATCATGATTTGGTTTAGGGTATATTGAAGAGATACATATTTAGATTTTTGAAAATGTTAATATGTGTGTGATGTGCTAACCTTAATTTTTTATGCCACGAAAAGATATCATTTATGAATTGCGACTATTGTTATATTATTTACTTTAGTTATCTACTTATTAATATTTAATTTAAGTAAATTTAGTTCACGATCTCCTTTGATCCTTTTTTTTTGACATCAATACAAATTATAAATTTCTTTTTGAGAAGGACCGATTCAAACTCGGATCTTGTGAGAAGGTAACAGAAGTGGGAACCACTAGCCCATTTGCTTTTCGATCTCTTTTGATCCATTTATGTACATAAACATGTCTGTTTAATTTATGGGTTAATTTAAGTTATCCCAATTAATGAAACTATGAAAGCCATATATAAATGGTCAATGAAGACTAAGAGTTAAAAAAAAAAGAGTAATTTAAATTGATTATGAAATAAAATAGAAAATAGAACTAATATATTTTTTCTTATCATAAAACATATATAATATGCCTTGTTTTTTTTATTAGAAGCATTCACAATCAAGCACACATCTTATTTCACACATATTATGTTACATATTAAGTTCCACATTGATTCTTACACATCTATACTATTAAAGCTGAAGTACACAATGAATTTACACTAGTTTCAAAATGAAATAATTATCATTTCTAACTAGGTTAACACGCGGATCTAACTAACTAAACGGATATGTTAATCGGGTTTAGAGATTTAATCTCCATCGTTCATTTTTCAGTTGATAAAAAAAAATTGGTTTTCAATATTAAAGGAAAGATAATTATTACGTTTGATATTTAACTTTATTTGTAAGATACAATGCCTAAAATTTAGCTTAATTGGCAAGATTTTCTTAATTTCAAATATTTTATAAAGATCTTGATCGAAATTTTAAACATTGAGTATTTTAATATTTGTTTTAATAGAAACCATTCCATGTTTTCTTAGTATGGAATATTCAATGTAGTTGACTTTTTAAACTATTTTAATTTTTAACTTGACCAACCAAATCAATCTATATTAACATTTTTTAAATACATTTGATAATATAACTTTTTATTTGTAAGATTTTTATAAATAAACTTTTGTCATTTCATTATATATTAAAAATTGAAGAATTATTTATTAAGTAATCATTATCCTATTCGATTTTCTTTGAATATATATTTCCTTAATCATTTAAAATCCATAATATGTATATATTTCCTTAATCATTTAAATCTAAATCGTTTATATCAAAATCATTAATTTATGGTAGGCAAAATCAACGGATTATATCTTAATTTATAACAATTTACTAATTTATGGTAATTAAATTCGCCTATTAAATATAAACATGATTTGTTATTCTAAGTCTTTTAAAAATGGAATATTCGGATATAATATTTAATATTTAACAATAAAATCACGATAATTTAGTAATTGAGATTGAATAAAGTTATTTTTTTTCAAAACTAAATCTCAAACCAAATATTCTAAAATATTAACTACCCCATTTTTACAGGCTATATAAACCATTCCATGTTTTCTTAGTTTACATTCATTTCAAAAGCGAGACAAAATATATATCTCACAAAACAAAGCATGAACTAATACAAATTTTCACACCACATGCTTTCATATCGTTTTTAATCAATGTTTACTCATAATATTTTACTTTTTGTGTTTAATTTTTTTAAAACAACTAATTGTAATCTACTTTTTTGATGTAGTAGCTTGAGATTTTGAGGTCTTTGGGAAAATTACGAAGATCAACAACATCCTCCCCAATAAACCCAAAAAACGTGGTATGCATTCGAAGGTTATTTAGTCCTATTTCTTATCATCATATATGTAAAAAAGTTAAATAAAATGGTTAATATTCCTTTTAAAAAATTTTCCTCTAAATTACATGGTATATATATATGCATTTAAGATTTTATCGCAATCGTTTATTTGTAGATTAAATCTTGATCGTTAATCTAAATTTTCAAATATCTAAAAGATTTTATAGATATTATAATTTTTATCTAAGGAAATTTATTAGGTGAAAAATCTCAATATATTATGTCTTCATTACTATTCCTATACGTGAATTAAATATTTCCTAAACTATTTAACTAAAATCATTTATATTTAAAACGTATTTTTAAAGTAAACAAAAGAAATTAAATTAATATTTGTGCATCTTTTTTATTCACAAACTTCGTATTAAAGGTTTTAATCCAATTTAATTTTGAAAACATTTAATTACTTATTATTAAAAAATAGCACTCCTTTTCTTTTAAAGTTTTATAATATATATATATAAGTATTCATTATTTCCTGAATAATTTAAAGTTTTCAATTAATATATGTGAAATTTATAACTAAAAGGTGCATGTAAGGCTACTAAGGAATAAAATTTAAAATAAATTCAAATTTATTTTAGTG